CTCCTATGATATTTTTAATTCGAATTATTAGTTTCTCCTATGATAATTTTAATTCATTTCAAAATTTCTCCCATGATATTTTTAAATAGAATTATAAATATCTCCTATGATATTTTTAATTCGAATTAAAAACATCTCATTTGAAATTTTTAATTTGAATTATAAATTTCTCCTATGATATTTTTAATTCGAATTAAAAATATCTGCTATGATATTTTTTATTCATTTAAAAATTTCTCCTATGATATTTTTAATTTGAATAATACATTTCTCCTATGATATTTTTAAATCGAATTAAATATATCTCCTATGATATTTTTAATTCATTTAAAAATGTCTGCCATGTTATTTAATTCGAATTATAAATTTCTCCTATGATATTTTTATTTCATTTAAAAATGTTTGCCATGATATTTCTAATTCGAATTATAAATTTCTCTTATGCAATTGTTAATCCAATTATAAATTTGTCCTATGATATTTGTTATTCAACGAATTAAAAATATCACTTTAACATTTTGATTTATTAATTTGTCCTATGATATTTTTAATGCAATAAATTAAAGTTTTCATTTTATATTTTTAAATATTTTAGAGATATGTGAAATTCAATGGAGAAATAAATAATTCCTGAATAAAAAATCAAACGGCGCGCCATAAGAGGACATCAAAGAAAATATCACCCCAACAGGAACTACTATGGCGCGCCGTTTGATTTTTTATTCAGGAATTATTTATTTCTCCATTGAATTTCACATATTTCTAAAATATTTAAAAATATCAAATGAAAACTTAAATTTATTGCATTAAAAATATCATAGGACAAATTAATAAATCGAAATGTTAAAGTGATATTTTTAATTCGTTGAATAACAAATATCATAGGACAAATTTATAATTGAATTAACAATTCCATAAGAGAAATTTATAATTCAAATTAGAAATATCATGGCAGAAATTTTTAAATGAATTAAAAATATCATAGGAGAAATTTATAATTCGAATTAAATATCGTGGCAGAAATTTTTAAATGAATTAAAAATATCATAGGAGATATATTTAATTCGATTTAAAAATATCATAGGAGAAATGTATTATTCAAATTTAAAATATCATAGGAGAATTTTTTAAATGAATAAAAAATATCATAGCAGATATTTTTAATTCGAATTAAAAATATCATAGGAGAAATTTATAATTCAAATTAAAAATATCAAATGAGATATTTTTAATTCGAATTAAAAATATCATAGGAGATATTTGTAATTCTATTTAAAAATATCATGGGAGAAATTTTGAAATAAATTAAAATTATCATAGGAGAAATTAATAATTCGAATTAAAAATATCATAGGAGAAATGTATAATTCGAATTAAAAATATCATAGAAGATATTTTTAATAAGATTAATTATTATAAAATGACAAATAAAACATATTTTTAATTCAATGTCAAATTTTTCATTGAACTGGGTTGTAAAAAACGCACTATATGCGGTTTAGTTCATTAGAACTACTTGCAACTGTTAAGCCTCATTTATAGATTGCCATTTTTCCTTCCTTCCGTAAAAGATAATCAATACGAAAACCGTAGTGCTGTTTATAGATTTCCGTACCCTAATCTATTAACAGGGTTTCGTATTGTTCGTCTTTTACGGGAGGAACGAGGGAAGGAAGGCTTTAAGGCAGATTTAAATATTACCTTCCTTCCTTCCTCCCGTAAAATATGAACAATACGAAAACTGTAGTACTATTTATAGATTCCGTACCTTAATTTATAAACATCACAACGGTTTTTGTATTGTTCATCTTTTACGGAAGGAAGGGAGGAAGGAAGGAAGGCAATATTTAAATCAGGCTTTAAGCTTCCGATATCAATGAGCGCAGTCCTGTAATAAATTTATTAATAACTGTTTCTTGTTATTAGCGTTATTATAACACATTAACTTTATTAATGCATTTATCTTAATTATACATATTTTTTTAACCGGTAGTTCAAATATATTTAGCATCTTGTGAAAATTAACTACATTTAATTTTTGACAGATGAATAAATTTTTTCCCGCGTTTTTACAAACTGGTAAAGATATTTGAACTACCGGTTACAAAAATATTTATAATTAAAATAAATGCACTAATAATGCTAATGTGTTATAATAAGATAGGTTAATAGGTATCTATGTACTGTCTGTCCACTCTAAGTTGGCGGAACTAAGGAATTTTGTAGTTTAGATATTAATGGATTGTCGTACTGTGTGCTTTTAAAACAGATTTTATATTATAAATAATACTAGTACATATTATATACTAGTATTATTTATAATATAAAATCTGTTTTAAAAGCACACAGTACGACAATTCTTTAATATCTAAACAACAAAATTCCTTAGTTCAGCCAACTTAGAGTGGACAGACAGTATGTACCTATTAATAAATTTATAGCAGGAGTTTGTTTGTATTTGAAGCTCAACAGTTGCCAGTTAGCGGCACCTGTAGTTCGAATGCACTAAAACCGCATATAGTGCGTTTTTTAGTTCAGTAAGAATGAAAATATGACATTACTTAAAAATATGCTTTATTTTATTAAGTAATTAAATAATTATTATATTCTATGATATTTTTAATTCGAATTATACATTTCCCCTATGATATTTTTAATTCGAATTATTAATTTCTCCTATGATAATTTTAATTCATTTCAAAATTTCTCCCATGATATTTTTAAATAGAATTACAAATATCTCCTATGACATTTTTAATTCGAATTAAAAATATCTCATTTGATATTTTTAATTTGAATTATAAATTTCTACTATGATATTTTTAATTCGAATTAAAAATATCTGCTATGACATTATTTATTCATTTAAAAATTTCTCCTATGATATTTTTAATTTGAATAATACATTTCTCCTATGATATTTTTAATTCGAATTAAATATTTCTCCTATGATATTTTTAATTCATTTAAAAATTTCTCTTATGATATTTTTAATTCGAATTATACATTTCTCTCATATTTTTTTAATCTGTTTAAGAATTTTTACCATAATATTTTTAATTTAAATTATAAATTTCTTCTATGATGTTGCTAATTCGAATTCTAAATTTGTCCCATGATATTTTTTATTCAAGGAATTAAAAATATCACTTTAACATTAAAATTTACCGCATTTTTTAATTTGTTCTATGATATGTTTAATGCAATGAATTAAATTTCTGACTTGGTATCTTTTATTTATAAATAAATATCATATTTGCAACTTTAATTTGGGATTTCTGAAATTGATTTAGAGATATCTGAAATTAATTTTACATATCTGAAATTAATTTCACATATCTGAAATTGATTTAGAGATATCTGAAATTAATTTTACATATCTGAAATTGATTTAGAGATATGTGAAATTCAATGGAGAAATAAATAATTCCTGAATAAAAAATCAAACGGCGCGCCATAAACTACCTCAAGGATCACCACTATCTCCTATTTTATACAACATCTACTGTCACGACATATACAATGAAGACCCAAAACATTTCGACTTCAAAAAATATGTGCTACAATACGCCGATTACACTGCAATAGTAGTTCACGAAAAAACCAAAAAAGAGGCTTTAGCACGGCTACAAAATTTGACGGACAAAGTATGCCTTTGGTACAACAAATGGAGACTCAGACCTAACCCTAACAAATCACAATCACAAAATATTCCACCAAAATAAAACTTATCCAAACGATCAAATCAGCTTATACAACCACCAAGTCATACCAAGCCAATCAACCAAATATCTGGGCATTAATATAGACAGCAAACTAAACTTTAACTCCCACTTTAACCTAATGAAAACCAACACAGTTAACAGAGCGGCTCACTTTACATCTATGACGTAGCAAAATAAAGGCATAGATAAACTTACTGCAAAAAAAATATACACCATGATATGTAGTCCCATCCTGGAATATGGTAGTATCCTATTAATGAACAGCACCAAAACCTGCCTTAAAAAACTGGTTGCAGAAACAACAGCAATCAGAATAATTACAAAAACTCGACACCCCAACAACCCCCTCCATATCCCACCAAACACCCTCCTTTTTGAGATTATTAATATTCCCAATATCCTTACACGCCCAAAGATTTAAAGAATCAGAATCTAACATCAAAAACATAGAAACAATGTGCATTAAACTGGGAGATGAACAAAGAAAAAGCAAGAACCCCTAAGCCTCACCTTGTGGGAAATATTAAAGGAATAGCCCTCCCCTCTTTATTACTTCAAATATATGAGTATTATGATAAAATTTATTTTTTTTCTTTTTTATATAAGTACAATTTTTTTATATAGTATACACCAAAACATTGTATAGAAACATATTATAGGTTGTAAACGGGCAGAAGGACCTAGGTTGATAGCCCTTTGGTTAACCCAATAAAGACTTTTTTTTACATATGACCGTAGAAAATGATGATAAGAAAGGGTAAATAAATTATTGTAATCTAAAATATAAATGTAAAATAAAATATTAATGCTTTGTAATGCCACATTGTTCGTTATTTAGATTCATAAAATAAAAATAGGTTTTGGAGGCGCCAAGCATCGAACCCGGTGCTAAGCGAGCGCCCTACCATCTGAGCTACCCAGCTTAATATCAATTTTATAACGCTCAGGGAATAATACCGGTTTACAGCGTGCGACGTCAAATTATGACATCAGGCGGTATCGAACTTAAATCCCGCTTTGGAACTTTGGACACAAGGTTATTTTAATTACAAAATAAATTTTTAGTTTTGCCAAAACTCTTTTGGGTCAATTAAGTTATCAATAATAATTATTGTAAATAAGGAAATATTACATTATCATGTAATGTTTTCTTACAATGTAATATTTTCTAGTTTTTAATTTATCAAATAAATACATTCATAAAACAAGGATTAATATTCTAAGCCAAAGACTTATCCTTAGATATTTAATAAAATAAATTAAATTATATATTACCTGCTGAGTAAATCTCCTGGTAAAGAAGGGAATTAAGTACTTGAGATCATACTTAGCAAAACCTTTGATTCTGTCTGAAACAAATGCGACTTCTGTTTCACCTTCGGTGGTTTCAGAGAGATGTTCCGATTCCAAGGCAGCACCCCATTCGCGAGTTTTACTTAAGGTGACCTCTCTATCCTTCTTGCGCTTCTTCAATCTTCTGGACGGATTTTTTGTAGCTTGCATAAATTTCAATAGAGGCATAGTGGAGCCTCCAAAAAACAAAGTTGTAACAAGCACAATAATCAATGTGGTTGTGATGATAACATGTCTGGTTTCATCACTAAAATTTAAGTGAAGTGACAATGCATAAGATATAGCACCTCTTAATCCACTAAACCACATTATAAACATCATTTTTTTAGTAATCTGATGTTCTCTAAATCTATTGACTAGAATGGCTAATGGAAATATGTTACATGCTCTACCAATAAGGCAGAGAATAATGCTCCATACTACTAGAGCCGGCTCCACTCTGTGTTTAAAGCTGAATAAAGCTAAGCCTAAGTAGGCAAAAACGCAGGTTTCAGCAATGAACGCTAAGGTTCTTAATGTTTGCTGCATTGTAATTTGGGTAACTGTTGATAGATTAAAGTGAGTGTAGTGAGACATAACAATTCCACAGAATAAAATTGCCATTATTCCAGAAAGATGAATACCTTCAGCCAAAACATAGGGAGCATAAGTGAATACTAACATCATACCAAACTCAAGGGATGGATTTTTTCTTAAATCAATGTGTTTTAGCAAAAGAGCACTCAAAAGAGCAAATACAACTCCAATTCCTGCAGATGCAAAGAACATAAGACAAAATCTTTCAATACCTATGAAAATGGCCTCACCAGTATTAATGTTAGGATTGTTAGTTTCAAGGGCAGCTGTTGTCAAAACAATGGCTATAGCATCATTTAGAATACTTTCCCCAAATATCATCATATTAAGTATTGGATCAACATTTAGAGCATGAAATATGGCAACAGTGGCTACTGGATCAACAGCAGATATTAAAGAGCCAAATGCAAATGATTCAACAAAACTAAGTTTATAAGCTACATCCATTAGGCCCAAAAAGTATACTCCAAAACCAATTACAAATGCAGATATTGTGGTTCCCAAAATTGCAAATACTAAAATAGAGCCAATATTTTGAAAGAAATTGCCTTTATGCAAGTTATACCCAGATTCGAATATAATAGGTGGCAACAAAATCAAGAAAAACGCAGTTGGAGAAAATGCTTCTTCTTTTCTCCAATTGCTAATATTACGACTTGATAATGCATTCATTGTTAACCCAATTAAAGCTCCCAAAAATACAATAACCACACTTTCAGGAACATATTGAAAACCTGTCTGAAGCATAAGATGAATAAGTAAAATACCTATAGCAAGTACACACAATACAAAGAATATAGCCATCGAACTATTATGTTCATCTTCAGCAGCTTCCTTATCTGGTAATACTGGTTCCACAGAAAGGGTTGTGGTTGTTGTGTTTGTTTTATTAGTCGATGTTGGAGTAGCTGGAGTTGAAACTGGTTGGGAAGATCCCTTGGTTACATTTTTAGATTCCACTGGTGGCACTGTACTACTGCTGTTTACAATGGGTGGTTTTGGTATTTCTGTAATATCCTTAACTTTGGTATCTTTTGATTGCATGGAGACTGTAGTACTTTTAACATTTTCAGGCAATATTTTAACTGGATTATCTGTTGTGTTTAATGGTTTAGCTGGTTCATTTGGTTTGGTTTCGTTTGTTTTATTATTAGACTCTTCTAACGATGCAATGCTTCCGAATAAAATAAAACATACTACCATAAAGGTAGAGATTTCTTTGAATTTCATTGTTACACTTTAGTTTCTACGATCGGAATATTTACATTTTTTTACGAAAACAGCACTATCACTAACTTTGGTATCAGCGTATTTAATCAACTGTATTATGAAAATTGTTGACCTTCATTTCCATTAAAATTTTCATGATATTTGTTGGTTTTGACGTTTTCGAGTATTTTGCGCATTAGCCACCAAACGGCACACGGGATTTAATTGAACTATAGCTATGTTGTCATGTGATATTTCAAACTTAATTTATTTGTAATATAGAACAATTCTTCTGTTATAATCACATTTTAATTAACACTTTTTATTTTTATTAGTATAAATTGGAAACTTTTCATTAAAATTTTTCAAAATGTTAACAAAAACAATACATCGGATTTGGCATTTGGCAACACCACATGTATTTTTTAAATTGTAAATGCTTTATAATTCAATAAAATTTTTAGATTTAATTTATTATTAAATGTTAAGTTGAATTTCTAAATCTTTATTAAAAAGTGTTTATTATTTTTGTACCGGGAATTTTCCAGAAAATTAAAATGTCAGTTGGCAACTGACAGTTGCGGTTCTTCAAAATTTCATGGGAAATGTCATCTCGGAAAATATTTAATTGGTTTATTACTGAAAATGGAAGAAAATTCAGTTTTTATGCCGCTGGGGCGGCTTCTACTTGTGCTATGCTTTTAAATTTTCTACCTCAAACCATATTATTGGAACAGTATAAAGATTTAGTACAATTATACAAGTAAACGTAAAGTAAGGTTATGACTATTTTTAAATTTAATTTATTTTAATTTTAGGAAGGGTTTATCAGTCCCAGTGTCTCTTAAATTAAAGGAACGTTTTTTAAAAGCCATAGAAATAACTCAGGTAATATTTAACACTTTTGCTAATCCAAATAATTTACTTTATCTTCAAGCATTCAATAATTTTAAGTGAGTGTATATTGGTCCGGCCGTTCGGACACTATTTGTCCGGCGCTATTTGCGCTTTGCTTGAACAGCTGATGGCCGGACGAATATTGCATCATATGTTAATAATTTATTAGGTATACTTTATATTGACTGAAGCACTTGCACAAAAACTACAACCTCCATTGCAGCTAATTTACGACGGAAATGTTTGAACGTTCACCCGGAGAAATAGTCGCCGCAATATTCCTCCGGCCGTCAGCTGTTCAAGCTCAGTGCAAATAGCGCCCAGACAAATAGTGTCAATTACAATTCGTCCAAACGGCCGGACCAATATTCACTCCCTAATTTTAACTTTATTATTGTTAGACTTGATTTGACTTGACAATGTTAGGTTACCACCTACCAGACTAAATGCCAGGAGAATTTTTGGGGGGTAAAAAGAATAAAGCGGAATGAATAAACTTTTAGTGTTTTATCTATTTCTTTTCCAAAATGAATGTTACATTCTTAAAAGTAAGATGTTTTGTACTCAATAATACTTAGATAATGCTTTTATAATACAGCCAAGCTTAATTTTTAAAGAAGAATTTAAATTAGTCTAGAAATATTATTTGGAATCTGTTTTTTCTTTGTGGAGGTTTCTCAAGCTTTCCAGACATGGTACTTGGTTGAAACAGATTTTGTATTTCAAATAGTGAAAAACTAATTGGGAATCAATACTCATTTAAAGATTCCTTTGCTTTGTTTATAAAATTAATTACTTGATCATGATCATCTGACAGATTACCTAATTTGTCCAGGCCAACAGATATCTAAAGGGTGTTTTTTTAGAAGTTGGATTTTTAAATTGAAATTTAACACAATAAAATCATCCCAGTGAGCACCAAACACTCGGTTCGGGTTGCCCCAGCCGGCCCGCTTACGGCCCGCGTTATGTTACCCCGGTACCGTTTAGCCATCTTCTAACCGAAGCCAGAATACGGCATGCCGCTGCAAAATCCTTCGGCTTGCCCTAGCCCCGGTGCCGACCCACTTACGGCTGGAATACGGCCTGCCGCGGCATAAACCATACATCTCACGGCTGCTTACGCACGCGAGCTAACTATAAATAGCGATTGGTTGCAATATTTAGTTGGAAGTGTGCGTCCGTAATGGCATAGCTAAACATTAATTGTTTGGAGTCCCCATCTCCATCCTGATCTGCTCAGTAACGAATATTGTCTAGCTAGTCGAATGTGTTAAAAAAGTATCTTGCCATTTAGATAATTTCAGGACTGAACTTATAGCATACCCCACATTCTACTTTCAAACGTAATTTGTGCGATTTAGTAGGCAGGTTCTGTTAATTCCCCCTATTGAGTATGCTCCATGGTTTTATGTATTGTTTAACAAATAAAATTGTGCCTTATCTTAAACATTCTCACTTTTCAGCTTTATCACATAAATAACTATTATTTGTCCAATGGCTGGACATATTAGTATATTCTGTAACAAGTTTGGAATACAGTATATTCCTCGAGTGAAGAGTTTGTCACACGAGCCGAAGGCGAGTTTGACGGTTTCACGAGAGCGGAATATGCAATTCCAAACGTGTTTCAGACTATACTTTTTCTACGTTTCCAAAAAATACCATAGAAAAATAATTTAATTGGAAGAAAGTAAGGTTGGATGGGTGGTGGGATTTGTTAGATATTAAAAACAGAGATGTCGCCACGAGTGTTTATTCTGTCATCAGATGATAGAATACCTATTTCATTCTATCATCTGATGACAGAATGTACACTCTTGGCGACATCTCTGTTTTTAATATCTAAGAAATTTTAGACCGATCCAACCTCACTTTCTTCCAATTAAATTCTTTGTCTATGGTATTTTTTGGAAACGTAGAAAAAGTATAGTCTGAAACACGTTTGGAATTGCATATTCCCCTTTCGTGAAACCGTCAAACTCGCCTTCGGCTCGTAAGCAAACTTTTCACTCGAGCGGAATATGCCGTATTCCAAACTTGTTACAGAATATACTATTATCTACTCCTGCATTTTTGAGCTGTGACTTTATGGCGTTTTAGTCACTGGCTAAAGTTAGCAATAGTGGCTTTTGGCATCTGTCAAATGTCAATGTCAACGGAATTAACCTCACTTTTGTCTAATTTATAAATTAGAGAAAAGTGAGGTTAATTCCATTGACATTTGATAGATGTCCAATTTTAACAAATAAAATTGGATTTAAATTCTTCTTTGTGATCGTCATAGATAAAGTATAGTATGCAACTCGTTTTATAAACTTATCTAGACACTCGTTTTTATTAAACACTCGCTTGCAAGCTTCGCTCGTGCTTAATAAAACTCGTAAATAAAATGACGTTTATAAAACTTGTTGCATAATGTACTATTATAGACTTAATAAATATTAAGATTATTAATAAGTCATGATTTTTTAGGTACATCCATTAGACAGAGAACTTTTTAAACCCTTTTCTGCATATGGATTTGAAATTTTTAGTGCTGGAAGTATTTTTAGCAGATATGGTGTAATAGTTGGTTTACCCGCTAACTTTTCATATGATAGTCTGGATGGTATAGATAAATCAATAATAAAGGTATATGCATAAAAAAGAAAATTCAGTTTACCAGTCAATAATTTATCAAAAAATAAATCTAGTTTGTCAAGTAAACTGGTTTAATTTTGATTCAAATATATGTAAAGAGGCAAGTTGCCTTTTTTTAATTTTATTTTATTATGCAAAAAATAGTTTTTTTTCAAGCGTACAATAATTTTCATATTATAAGACTTAAATCTATATATAGAAAGGCTTTATATTAATACTAGTTCAAAAGTCAAATTATTATTAAACTCTGTACAGAAATAAAGCTAAAATGTCATCATGTCAGTTGAAGTTAAACTAAAAATGATGTGACAGAATCTTAAGAAATTATTTAATTAAATGCTTGAAAAAAAAAGTATATAAAACACGGCGGCGAAATCTTATTAAATGCCTCGCACACAATCGATAATTTGTGCTTTCTCCGCCTGGTCTATAATGTACTATTATAAAACAAGCTTATGACTGTTTTTGTTGTATGGAAAGTTATGGCATTTTTATAACAAATTAATTTGACAACAATCAACACCAAAGTCCTAGACCAAAGTGTCACACATGAAAAGACCCATTTATAGGGATAGAACGATACCGATATTGATATCGGTATATCGGCATATCGGCAATTGTTTCCGATTATCGGTATCGTATCGTATCGGCAAAAAAAAATTGCGCTTTTCACTCTTCAGTGCATAAATGAAATACTTTATTAAACAAAATAAAAATTTTCTTACTTTTAATATTAAAAAATAAGAAAAACAACCCTTTTAGGAAACAATAATAGCATATGGCAACAGCGCGGCATGCAGTTTGATCTACTGTGTTTGTTCAGTAGTTCCGACGCTGTCGTAGGGAAATGTGTAGTTTTTAAGAAATACATTTTCGCCATTAACTGGAATTTAATGGATTTTAAACAATACTTAGTTTTTATTTGCAGAAATGCATTAAAACAAAGCAAACGAATTCGATAAAAATAAAACCTATAAATTCTCAATCCCTACCACAGTGGGCGGGGTTTGGCACTTGTTTTATTTAAGTGTATCTATTCGTTTTAATACACAATGTATAAGGGGCTTCCCAGAAATCCGAAATGTCACTCACTACCAATCACAAACGTTTCCTCGCAACGGAATTAAAACGGGACTTCCCCGATTTTTGCTTCGGTCGTGTATAAATAGATGGCATTATGTTTGCCGATACGATATATCGGTATATCGGTATATCGGCACTAGGGGTGTCAATCCCGGGATCCCGAAATCCCGGGGTCCCGGGATCCCGTAAAAAATCCGATCCAGAAAATCCCGGGATTAAAAGTCCCAATCCCGGGATCTTAGTAATAAGTTACAAAGAATAAAATAGACTTTTTTTAAGCGTATGACATTTTTCATATTATAATACTCATAAGCATATATATAAAAACTTCATTTTTTTACTCAGTTCAAGTCAAATTATTATACACCGCCGTACAATAATGAAAATACATTGAAATTACATAGCAAGAGTGGTTCCATCTATAGCATAAAATCAGCAAAGAAAATGTAAAATTACAGGTCACTGTAGAATAAATTTATGTACATAACCTATAATATAACATATTTCAAACGTCAAACCTGAAAAAATGTCACAAAATTGATAATTTCAATGTAAGTTACAGCCCCAATTGGAACTCACCAAGGCCCGATTGATAAAAGAAATGGAATTATTTGTTAATGGGGGTAAACGTGGGTACAATGCGCCTACGAATTCTTGAAAACCATTCTTCCGACTAGTCACTAGTGTGAAGTCCGAAAAATATCGTTCGTTAGTTTGTTTGTTGTTTTATTTTAAATTGGTTTTAAAATTAATGATATATATTTTTTCGGGACTGATCCCGGGATCCCGGGATTAGTTACCTTTGGCCCCGAAAAGCCCGGGATTGGAAAATGGGCTCGGGATTGACACCCCTAATCGGCATGTAAATATCGGTATCTGCCGATATATCGTATCGGCAAAAAAAAGTGATATCGTTCTATCCCTACCCATTTACACAGTCAAAAATTAGTTGTATTCGTTTTCCGTTCAACCGAGTTTTAAAGAAAATGAACTATTTTAAATCATTATTATAAAAAATTATAAATTAATATTAAAAAGGCAACCTTCTCAAATTTTGCATATTTTTTATATTTTTTATTAAATAGAAGTTGAAATTATTGTATTGTAAACACAGCAACATGTACAGTAGGGTGTCCCTTATTTTTATTTTTTTACGCATACCCTCTAATTATATTTATTACTTGTTTATATACTCCCAGTAAAAATTTCAGCTCATTCTATAAACGGGAACCCGTGCCGACTTGCATCTAAACCCTCCGTTAGCCAACGTTAGGCGCGCGCGGTATTTTGTAACACGAAACACTTTAAAAAGAAGATATACTTCATGACTGTATTTTTCTAATGATTTTATTAAATATGATAACTAATTAATATTATTGCTTTTGTTTCTATCAATTGTTTCACTAATTTAGTTGATTTTATCCCTTAAATATATTAATATACTAATTAGTATTGCTAAAATATACTGTTATATGAAATTTCAGCTTTTTATAAGCATTTCTTTTCTTGATGTCCTCCCAAAAATATTTCAGACAGTTCAATAAGGTTTCGGTAGTCATCTCTCACAATAGACTCTTTTAGTTATTTAGAGTAAAACCCATTAAGTTTATCAATTTCAGAGTTTACGGCCTATTCACCAGACCGTTCCGGGTAACTAGCCACTCCCTGTGAAAATATACATTTTTATCAAAGTATACACATAAATAAAACTATATTGTACCATTTGTCAATAATTTATAATATAAGGGTCACATAATAACAAACACAAAATGACTTACGATCGAAGACCTCGCGACCAACCGTGTTACAAAATACCGCGCGCCTAACGTTGGCTAACGGAGGGTTCAGATGCAAGTGGGCACGGGTTCCCGTTTATAGAATGAGCTGAAATTTTTACTGGGAGTATATAAACACGTAATAAATATAATTAGAGGGTATGCGTAAAAAAAATAAAAATAAGGGACACCCTAATGTACAGGTTTCATCAAAATTAATTTATTTAAAAAACGGATACCTACATCAATATTTCTAATAATTTTTTTATTTTTAATTTAATAAAGAATGTAAAATCTATTAAAAGCTACCTTTTTAAGTATTGATTTTTAGCAAATTATTTTAATTCATTTATTTTCAGGAAGCTAAATTAGTCTAATTTTTATACCATATTTTATAATAAAATAGTATTAGTTTACTTTGTCCCACTTATTAAAAATTGTTGATAATCAGATATTTTTTGCAGGTAAACAATGAACCTGTACCATGGGATACAGAAGAAGGCCAAGCCTTATTAAATTCATTGGTACTGTCAGAAAATGCACAATTGTATGCAATAGCAAGGGAAATTAGGTACCGCCAAACATCAAAACCACTCTTGGATGTATTTTTGGCGACATCATCATGTTTAGTTGCTTATGGACTTGGAAACAAAATTAACAAAAAATTTAATTTTTATATGCAACCATTTCCATTGCGTTTTATAATGTATAGTTTGGTTGGACTTTTTGTTGCTGGTAACTACATAATCTGCAAAGATTTTTCCCAAATTTATTATGAAGAAAGCATAGACAAAGAATTAAAAGAAATTCCAGAAATGGCTAGTGGCGGAAAAGAATTTTATGAAAAAATTTTACAAAGAAATGTTGCTTTAAGAAAACTTATGGGTAAAGATGGGGAAAATTTATACACCTCTTCAGGGAATGAAAACTATATGGTCAGATTAAAACATATTCCTTTAGTTCAAAGAAAATCATTTTTTGAGAAAAACATCCCAGCATAAAAAGATTATAGACTGACCACCACACAAAAATTGTAGTCAACTGATTGTAGCAAAATTGCCAGTTCAAATGTGCTATTTTCATTTTAAATATTAATTTGTTTTGTTTAATAAACTTAAAATTTTTAAAAATTGTTTTTGTACCTCTGTTACAGAAGTTTTGCCTTTTTAATATATTTTTGCTTTAAAGTTTTATATACAGTGTGACCCATTTTTTTGCGACTCACCCCTGAAAAATCTTTATTTATTGTGCGATTTTAACCGGATTTGTTTTAAAGTGTAGATCTTGATAAACTATATTTTTGGAGCAAAAGACGCAATATTATTATTATTTATAGTATAGAGTCAAGCCACGTCAAGTGGGACCAGAAAATTTCACGAAATCACCGATTTTGAAAATAATCACATTATTGTGTAGTAGGCATGACTCATATGTCACAGTAAAAAAATTGTTTTAAAATTCGTTTTTTTGGTAATGTTATTAAGGTTGACAATTTTGTCAAACTTTAGAGCACGGTAAAATTGAAAAAATTGAATCTCTGGGACCACTCTGTATAATTGAATTAAATTTTACACACTATTGTAGAAATGTTTAGTCTATATAATGATCATTTAATTAAGGTTAATTTGTTTAAATAAAAGAATTTTGCATACATTTATTATAAACAATTGAAATTTTGTATGTGTGCTTCACGCTGAAAAAAAATTAATCTTGTGTCATAATATGCGGCAAACGTTTCCGTTTAATAAGATGTACTCAAAAATTTGTCTTTCATATGTCATTCCGGAGATATTAATTTTCTTGTCCCGCTGTGCGCTTGATCAGTACGCGGCGAGCTTCGTTGCTAGCTCGTCCGTTCTAACGTTTTAACGGTGTGCCTGAACGTTTAAGGTGACTTAAAAATGATATTTACCAAAGTTCTAGCTGCTCCTCTTTTTCAAATTGTTCGAAAATTTATAATTTTTTTTTAAATTTTTGTTTATGTCTTTGACAGAGTACACATTTGCACACCGATTTTTATAAAATTGGAGTATATTATTTAGGAGACTTTTTAATACTGTTCACATTATTTGATATATACAGGGTTAGCCAAAAATCACTTATTTTTAATAATGCACAAGCGTAAATTCATGATTTTAGCATAATACGCGAAAAATATTTATTCCCAATTTTTTTTTAGATATTTCCACGTCTATTTGATAGACGTGGAAATATCTAAAAATACAAAATGGCATTATTATTAACCTTTTACAAGAAAAATAGATTTGTAATAAAATTTTATAAAATAACGCTTAGAGAGTATTTAAAATGTTGTTTAATTTAGGATTTTTAGTAGTTTTCAATTTTGAACGAAAAATTGGTTGAAGTTTTTTGATCGGCACTCTTTGGTTATTTAAAAAAGATATTTACCAAAATTCTAACTGTTTTTTTTTAATTTGTAAAAAATTCATTTTTTTTTAAATTATTTCTTTATCGCAAAGTCTACCTTTGCCAGAGTACACATTTGTACACCGATATTGTAAACGAGAAAAACTGTTCTTATACAGGGTTAGACAAAAATCACTTTTTTATATAGTAAAAAGCATACCCTGCTTAAAATACCCCATAGAGGAGACCCTGTTAACAGAATTCAAACCGATAGATATTTGCATCGGAATGTATGGTGTTTCTATAGGGTGTATCGGTATGTATAGGACCCATAGTTGGGATTTATGGTTGTTCTATAGGGATATCCACCCTTGATTTATTTGCTATTGGTTTCAATGGGGAAAATACACATAAATGTAGAAATTAGTTTTTAACCCATGTTTTATGGTTGTTCTATAGGGATATCCCTATATATCCTTCATTGAGTTATTTGCTATCGGTCTCTATAGGGAAAATGTAAAAGTTATGGTGTGCCTATAGGTAATTTCCTATAAATTTAACGATGGAAAATTTAAATTTTCCATCGTGCCGTATCCGGAAAAAACCATGGACAAATGTACATATTGAATCCGGTAGCGCCCGATAGATTTCCGGACAACAATCGGGATTTCCTGGTGAAGTCATGATATCACAACGTGATTTTTTTTATCACGCTGTGATATCCCGAGTGCATACATATGCTTCATCACAGTGATATCATGTAGAACTCACGGTGTGATATTTGCAAAATTTGCGCATGCGTATGAGCCCTGCGAACTGCGAATTTGAAACCTAGTTTGTTATTCACATTACACCGTTATAATTTATAAAACGTTGTTTGAATATCACGAATGTTGTCCGGGTTCAATTAAAAAAGATATTCCAATGTTTAACAAAATGTGAACGTTTGGATATTATTTTTGCGACACATTCGTACAATGAGAGAAAAAGTATGTTAACAATTGAATCAACAGTTTAACATTCAATATTTTCTTGGATTTAAATTAACTATATATAGTTAATATAAATCCAAGAAAATATTGAATTTATTTAACCGCAAAAACTGTTGATTCAACATACCTACATATATGTATATTAAATCAACAGTTTTTGTGGAGCAAAAATAAATATCCAAACACCTATGGCATAAAAAATCATGTTGTTTGGATTTGGAATTAACTATATATAGTTAATTTAAATCCAAGAAAATATTAAATGTATTTAACCGCAAAAACTGTTGATTTAACATAATTTTTTTCTTAGTGTACGAACGTGGAGCAAAAATGATTATGCAAACACCGTTGGCATAGAAAATCACGACATGATTTTTTGTGCCATCGGTCAACAATCGGGATTTCCTGGTGAAGTCATGATGATATCACAACGTGATTTTTTTTTATCACGCTGTGATATCCTGAGTGCATACACATGCTTCATCACAGTGATATCATGTAGAACTCAGGCCCTGCGAACTGCAAATTTAAAACCTAGTTTGTTATTCACATTACACCGTTATAATTTATAAAACGTTGTTTGAATATCACGAATGTTGTCCGGGTTCAATTAAAAAATATATTCCAATTGCAATGTTTAACAAAACGTGAACGTTTTGTTAAACATTGGAATATCCCCGGACAACAATCGGGATTTCCTGGTGAAGTCATGATGATATCACAACGTGATTTTTTTTCACGCTGTGATATCCTGAGTGCATACACATGCTTCATCACAGTGATATCATGTAGAACTCACGGTGTGATATTTGCAAAATTTGCGCATGCGTATGAGCCCTGCGAACTGCGAATTTAAAACATATAGTTTGTTATTCACATTACACCGTTATAATTAATAAAACGTTGTTTGAATATCACGAATGTTGTCCGGGCCCGGACAACAATCGGGATTTCCTGGTGAAGTCATGATGATATCACAACGTGAGTTTTTTTATCACGCCGTGATATCCTGAGTGCATACACATGCTTCATCACAGTGATATCATGTAGAACTCACGGTGTGATATTTGCAAAATTTGCACATGCGTAATAGCCCTGCGAACTGCGAATTTAAAACCTACTTTGTTACCTGGTGATTCAACATAACTTTTCTCTTAGTGTACGAACGTGGCGCAAAAATGATTATCAAAACACCGCTGGCATAAAAAATCACATGATTTTTTATGCCATCGGTGCACCGACATCTTTGGATATTTATTTTTGCGCCACATTCGTACATTGAAAGAAAAAGTATGTTAACAATTGAATTAACAGTTTTTGCGGTTAAATACATTTAATATTTTCTTGGATGTAAATTAACTAATAATTTTAATCCAAAAAAATATTGAATGTATTTAACCACAAAAACTGTTGATTCAATATATATGTAGGTATTCTTTTTCTCTCAATGTACGAATGTGGCGCAAAAATAAATATCCAAACACCGATGGCATAAAAAATCACGACATGATTTTTTGTGCCATCGGTGTTTGGATATTCATTTTTGCGACACATTCGTACATTGAAAGAAAAAGTATGTTAACAATTGAATGAACAGTTTAACATTCAATATTTTCTTGGATTTAAATTAATTTAATTTAATTAACTATATATGGTTAATTTAAATCCAAGAAAATATTAAATGTATTTAACCGCAAAAACTGTTGATTTAACATAATTTTTCGCAAACAGCGATGGCATAAAAAATCACGACATGATTTTTATTTCTCACGCAGTGACATCCGGATGATGTCCGTATGAATAAAATTTGTGAAAATCACGACGTGACGTTCGTATGATTTTCATTTATCACGCGGTGACTTCCGTATGATATCAGTATGAATAAAATTTGTGAAAATCACGACGTGATGTTCGTATGAATATCACGAATGTTGTCCGGGATCTTTTTTAATTGAACCCGGACAACATTCTTGGTATTCATACGAACATCATGTCGTGATTTTCACAAATTTTATTCATACTGATATTATACGGAAGTCACTGCGTGAGAAATGAAAATCATGTCGTGATTTTTTATGCCATCACTGTTTGCGATTGACCGATGGCCTAAAAAATCACGACATGATTTTTTTTGCTATAGGTGTTTGGGCATAAAAAATCACGACATGATTGTTTATGCCATCGGTGCACCGACATGTTTGGTGCCAAATAAAAATAAATATCCAAACACCGATGGCATAAAAAATCACGACATGATTTTTTATGCTATCTGTGGACCGACATGTTTGGATATTTATTTTTGCGCCACATTCGTACATTGAAAGAAAAAGTATGTTAACAATTGAATCAACAGTTTAACATTCAATATTTTCTTGGATTTAAATTAACTATATATAGTTAATATAAATCCAAGAAAATATTGAATTTATTTAACCGCAAAAACTGTTGATTCAACATAATTTTTCTCTTAGTGTACGTTCGAACGTAGCTCAAAAATGATTATCCAAACACCGTTGGCATAAAAAATCACGACATGATTTTTATTTCTCACGCAATGACATCCGGATGATGTCCGTATGAATAAAATTTGTTCGTATGATTTTCATTTATCACGCGGTGACTTCCGTATGATATCACTATGAATAAAATTTGTGAAAATCACGACATGATGTTCGTATGAATATCACGAATGTTGTCCGGGTTATTTTGTATAGGTCTCTATTGGGTATTTTAAGCAGGGAGTAGGCAACTGACCGGCAAACGGAAGGACGGTGGTTATCTGGGTAGTAACACAATATACTATAACGGTTGAGTGATCAACTTTACATATATTTACTGAACAAATATTTGATTTAAATCAAATATCAAATCAAATCAATCAAATAATTATTTGTCATTTAGGTAAGTACCTATAAAAAGTTTAAACTTTAAACAATTGTCTTCTTTGAAAGTTGAAAGTTTGTGCAAAATTAATAAATTACCCTGTATATTGTACCTATATAGTCGTTGTGTATTTTAAATTATTTATTAAATTTTTATTTTAATAATAAAGGTAGGTACAATAAATTTATACTTGTAAGTATAAAAGAAACATTCTTGAGATACCTAATTGAAATCTCCCGCGTAAGTAATTTAGTTATTTTAGATTTAAAATCAAAGTGATGTTGCCAACATAATAACTAGTGTTTTGGTTTGTTTAATGGTTATTTCTGTCTTTACATTGTCCAAATATTATCAAAATACTTGTTTATATTATACTTTACTACGTTTTCCAAAAAAACATGAGTATATAAAAGATAAATACACATAAATATCGTGGAAGTCGCCTAAAATTGTTATGATAATGGACTCAAAAAACTCGAACAAGAATGGCAGTATAGATGCAGAAAATCTAAACTTGAGTTTGGATATGGGAGATGATATGAAATTGGATGAAGTAAATTACGAAAGCGACGTGTCTTCCTCTTCTTCAGAAAGTTCCAGTGTCCCAAGTATCAGCTCGGTAAGCAGTGGATCTTCAAATAAGGAGCGCCGTTCCCGGCACAAAAGGGGCCGCTCAAACGATAAGAGCCCATCCCCTGCAGCTAAAAGACCTCGTTCTAAAGATGCCAAAGGCAAGTCCTATGATTACTTGACAAAACTGAACTATTTATTTCGTGATACACGTTTTTTTGTTATTAAATCCAACAATGCAGAAAACATAACTTTATCAAAGGCCAAGGGTGTATGGTCTACTTTGCCACAAAATGAAGCCAATTTAAATAAAGCCTTTAGAGAATCTAGAAACGTACTGCTCATATTCTCAGTGAAGGAAAGTGGAAAATTTGCTGGGTTTGCCAGGCTTCATGGAGAATCCAGGCATGATGTTCCAGCAATTTCATGGGTGCTACCTCCAGGCCTATCTGCCAAAGCTTTAGGAGGAGTTTTTAAAGTTGACTGGGTTTGTCGAAAGGAATTGCCATTTTCTAGCACAATGCATTTGTACAACCCATGGAATGATGGTAAGCCTGTAAAAATTGGTAGAGATGGTCAAGAAATTGAACCTAGAGTGGCAGAAGAACTTTGTCGTCTTTTTCCTGAAGATGATGGCATTGAAATAACCCCCATTTTGAGACTGGCAAAAGAGGCCTCCAAGAAAAATAACAATATGAGAAGTAGGGATGGACACAGGCATCCCAAAGCAAGAATGCCAATTGCAGCTAGAGCTTCATCCTTTGGCTATCGTGGTAGAGGTTCATCATATTCAAGAAGGAAGTATTTTTTGTCTACCAGAGGCTTAACATCATCCAGTGCATACAGAAGATCTATGTCACCTAGACCCAGAGATAGATTTTCACTGTTTTATGATCGTGAGTCTTCACGGCCATATACAGCTGCAGCAGCTGAAGCTTATGTAGCTGACTACATGCGCACCATGCAGCACCAGTTACCTCCCCTACCATATGTTCCTCCTCCTGGTCTTTATTCAGGATCAGCATATGAAAATTTACCTCCTCCTAGATATTATGATGGTCTACCTGCAGGTGACTATCAATCTTCTCGATTAGGCTCATATTCTGACAAAAGATCATATGATCGATCAGTTGATGAGTTTCTGTGGAGAACAAGTGAAAGATCTAGGGAAAGAGATAGAGAAAATCGTCATCGTTATAGAGATAGGCGGTGAATTATACTTTTTCTATATAGAATATAATTTTTATGATGGACGTTTTTTTAGTATACACATTCTATAATTTAATTTAATATTATTATTTTGGTATTTTTTACCATTTAAGTACTTTTTCCAAAATTACAAATTGTGATCTATTGTTTATCATGAGTTGAACTTAAATGTTAAAATTCAAAAATTGTAAAAAAATATTTTTTTTATGTATTAGTTTGTAGCTGTATTATTAATTTTAAGTACATATGCTACATTATTTGTACATTATATTTCTTATTAAATAAGTCTTTAATAATTGTATATTTGGGTTTTATTGTATTTTTCATATATTTATATTTTATCCTAATAAATAACATTACTTTATAAAATGGTATTACCTAAATTAATAAAAACTTATGTGGCAAAATGTATTAACTTTTTAAATTGTTTAACTTGTTACTATTTAAATATATAAATATTTTTAAATCATGATCATTAGATACATAATAGAAAGCATTTTTGCTCATTAGTGGAAAAACAATAAAGGTAAATAAAAATCCATTGCTACCCAAGTAATTCAAACGATGGCGCCAGAATCTCGTTTTACTATTGGTCGGTCAACACCCGGGCGTGAGATCCTGCGTCGAAGAAACACTCCGGTTGTTGCACTCCTCAACAACGATAGAAAGAAACCAGTCTTGAATGTTTTTCTTTCGCGGTGTTAAATTAACGATGCTCCTGTTAAATGAATAAAGTGAGGTGAAATTGCAGTGAAACTGTACTCGGATTTGTTGTTTTCATTTAGTAAAACCGAATAAGTGCAATGTCTGCAATTGTTTTCGAAGCAAGTACTGAAAATTTATTTTGGAAGTTTGCATAATGAGTTGCTTTGGCGAAGAAGTTGCCGGAATGTTTTAATTTCAGCATTTGTTTATTTCCAAGGTATGTTTATTTTACAATAACCTTTTTTTAGTGGGTAGGTACTTATTATATTGATAAAAACGAATGACATCTGTCAAAGTTCCTCGATTATTTGTTGTGATTATTAGTTATTTATAATGAATTTTGAACATTTAAAACACCCATTGGGGATATCATTAATTAAAGAACCATTGGATTACACCAAATGTTTAAAATAATGAATTCAAGGGCGGACTTAAAGCTACCTTCCATAAATGTCAATGTTGAGGTCATGTTTTTCTCTTTAAAACGTTTTTAATCAATGCTTTGCCTTATAATAAATTATTTTTAATTATACAAGTATTTATAGATCTGCAGATGTTTAATTAAATCTAAAACATTTGCCACATGGTTAAATTGTTATACCTACTTAGGACCTATTTTAATAGGCTATTTATTTTGTGTTGCACACACTTAACAAATTGTTAGCAGTGGGAAACAAAATAATATAACTACTATTATTTGCACTGGGTGTCTACAATATTCTTTTGCTATACTTTTTTCTTCCTTTAAATTTTAAATACCTACCTACTTATATAGTCACTGGGTAGTCTCTTGGGATTTAAATGCGTTAAAGAATTTTATGCATCTGGATTTGCATGATTTCTGTGTAAATAGGTAGGTAGGTACCTATTCTATTTTTTTTGATAATTTATCATGGATTTTACTTAAGCATGTGTTTACTTCACAAACACGTCTTAAAAAAATCTAATTACATCTTTTTCTAGTATTGTAACTAAATAGTTATGCGAATTAATAAATTATAAAACACAACCCTACCTACATAGGTACCTAGGTATATTTCTAAATTTATTTCTACCTCCTTAAAGTTTATTTTGGAAATGAACGTTTTATTGTGTATACACATGTGTTATGCATATTAAATAACTCATTAAATTACTAAGTCGAGTATAGCGTTTTAAAGCGTCGAAAAAAAAACGGAAATTTTAAAACAATTTTCAAATCAACTTTTCCAAAGGCCCAGGAAAAAACGAAAAAATCAGTTTTTTCACTCAATTTTTCCGTTTTTTTTTCGACGCTTTCAAAGGCTATAATAAATAAATGTACCTACATTTTATTACATAAATAAATGTACATTTTATTACATACCTAAATTTAGGTATTAGTATTTATACTTAAATATAAATTTTTTTAAAAGGTGCATTTTTGTTCACTGAGAAAAAAATGGGACAAATAAACTGTGTACCTATTAGGTACTACCTAATACTTTTATTTGTAGTGAATATATTCATATTCATATATATTGTTTATTACCTCTAAATAGTCGAAATAATAACGATAAATATACTTTAGTACAACTTTATGTGTCGGGAATAAAAATATATTTAGGATAAATAAACTGTACCCTTGTCCCATATTTAAATATTTTTTTTATTTGGGAGCAATAAACTTTTTTCTCAGCTCTTGATTTTTCAAAAAGCTACCAAAAGCACTTTTTTCATGATTTTTCAAATTCATGGAGAGTATGGAATTTTTTTTTTTCAAAAAAACTATAGCAAATTCTTGTAGAACATTTAGATATTAAAAAATTTGGAATATTTTTTATCCTCTAATTTTTCCTATTAGTGTAGAAGTTTTACATTGAGTCAAACCACGTCAAGTGGGACCAGAAAATTTCACGAAATCACCGATTTTGAAAATAATCAGTTTATTGTGTAGTAGGCATGACTCATATGTCACAGTAAAAAAATTGTTTTAAAATTCGTTTTTTTGGTAATGTTATTAAGGTTGACAATTTTGTCAAACTTTAGAGCACGGTAAAATTGAAAAAATGGAATCTCTGGGACCACTCTGTATAATTGAATTAAATTTTACACACTATTGTAGAAATGTTTAGAGTATATAATGATCATTTAATTAAGGTTAATTTGTTTAAATAAAAGAATTTTGCATACATTTATTATAAACAATTGAAATTTTGTATGTGTTCTTCACGCTGAAAAAAAATTAATCTTGTGTCATAATATGCGGCAAACGTTTCCGTTTAATAAGATGTACTAAAAAATTTGCCTTTCATATGTCATTCCGGAGATATTAATTTTTTTGTCCCGCTGTGCGCTTGATCAGTACGCGGCGCGCTTCGCTGCTAGCTCGTCAGCACACGGTGTGCCTGAACGAAGTTTAAGTCACATAAAAATTCCGCAGTTTCTTGTTGGGGACCCTTTGGTGACTTAAAAATGATATTTACCAAAATCCTAGCTGCTCCTCTTTTCGAAATTTTTTGAAAAATCTTTTTTATGCATTATGCTTTTTACTATATAAAAAAGTGATTTTTGTCTAACCCTGTATAAATCTAAGCATATATATAAAAACAGTTTCTCTCGTTTACAATATCGGTGTACAAATGTGTACTCTGGCAAAGATAGACTTTGCGATAAACAAATAATTTTAAAAAAATTGAATTTTTTAGAAATTAAAAAAAACAGTTAGAATTTTGGTAAATATATTTTTTAACTTCAACCAATTTTTCGTTCAAAATTGAAAACTACTCAAAAGCCTAAATTAAACAACATTTTAAATACTCTCTAAGCGTTATTTTATTAAATGTTATTACAAATCTAGTTTTCTTGTAAAAGGTTAATAATAATGCCATTTTGTAACCTGATAGACCTTAAAATATCTAAACAAAAATTGGGAATAAATATTTTTCGCGTGTTATGCTAAAATCATGAATTTACGCTTTTGCATTATTAAAAATAAGTGATTTTTGGCTAACCCTGTATATATCAAATGATGTGAACAGTATTAAAAAATATTCTCTAATAGTCTCCTAAATAATATACTCCAATTTTATAAAAATCCGTGTGCAAATGTGTACTCTGTCAAAGAGATAAACAAAAATTAAAAAAAAAACATGAATTTTTGAACAATTTCGAAAAGAGGAGCAGCTAGAACTTTGGTAAATATCATTTTTAAGTCAACAAAGGGTCCCGAACAAGAAACTACAATCAGTTTTTGGCGGCATTTTTATGTGACTTAAACTTCGTTCAGGCACACAGTTAAACCGTTTGAACGGACGAGCTAGCAGCGAAGCGCGCCGCGTACTGATCAAGCGCACAGCGGGACAAAAAAATTAATATCTCCAGAATGACATATGAAAGGCAAATTTTTGAGTACATCTTATTAAACGGAAACGTTTGCCGCATATTATGACAAAAGATTAATTTTTTTTCAGCGTGAAGAACACATACAAAATTTCAATTGTTTATAATAAATGTATGCAAAATTCTTTTATTTAAACAAATTAACCTTAATTAAATGATCATTATATACTCTAAACATTTCTACAATAGTGTGTAAAATTTAATTCAATTATACAGAGTGGTCCCAGAGATTCTATTTTTTCAATTTTACCGTGCTCTAAAGTTTGACAAAATTGTCAACCTTAATAACATTACCAAAAAAACGAATTTTAAAACAATTTTTTTACTGTGACATATGAGTCATGCCTACTACACAATAATGTGATTATTTTCAAAATCGGTGATTTCGTGAAATTTTCTGGTCCCACTTGACGTGGTTTGACTCATTGCTATTGGTTTCTTATGTGGAAACTACCAAATAATAAGAAATCAGAGTTTTTAGTCTCGGTCAAAATTTTCAATAATGTAAAATTTATTATATTCTACATTTTCTTTATTATTAATATACATTTTACTCAAAATTTCATTTTGAAAAGATTGATGTTATTTATTGACAGAATTTGCTTTATTGTAGCGGATTGAAAAAAAAACCGTTTTTTTACATCTCTAAATATACCTATAGGTATATTTTGAGTTACCATCACCATCTTACGTAGTTTGATACATCTTTGGATTCCTTGATTTTTTTCCATCTAACCATGTAAAATCCCAATATGGCGGCCATAGAAAAAACAAAAGATGATGGTGGTAACTCAAAATCTAATAGGCCAAAAAAATGTGTATGCTTCCATGGGAATACCTAACCAAGTTTGGTTTTGCCAGGTTCAGTTTTTCAAATTTTTTAAGAACCGCTGATTTTTCTCCCATTTTAAAGTGCTATTTTAATAGACTTGCAATTACCCAACTTTTGTCTAATTTAACCGACCTGGTAGCTCTTAAGAATTAAAATAAAAAAGATACCTACCCATACATAAAATGATACTTGGTGCACCCTGTAAAACTATCCTTAACTAGGTTTTATGATAACTTTATGGGTGTATTTAAATACAATTGTCACAAAAAATAGGTAGTTTGTTTTATCAAACCAAAAAAATAAATATAAAATCCTTATTTAGCCCTATAAAATTGACTGGTATGATCTGGAAGTACAAGTCCCTGTAAATATTTGTATATTTTTTTAAAAATTTAACAAATTATCCAAAATATATAGGTACAATAAATTGGATAGGTATACAGTTCAAGATTAAAAAAAATAGGTTCAAGCAACTAATAATATACCTATAGGTAGGTAACCTTTATAATCTGTTGGTAAGCCTACTGAATTTAAGTTTAAGTAGAGTCAAGTAGGTTCACTTGGACTAGAAATTTAATTAAACAGTAACAACACAATTTTGCATGCATAGGTATCTACTATTCACATAATTTTAAGATATTTAAAAACTATGGTACAAAAAAGTAGTAGGTACTAGACTTTTACCACTTTAAAGTGCTATACTGCCCTACTATGGAGAAAGGCAGTAACTGCTAAACAAGAAATTTGTGGAAAATTAGCATAAACTACATTTTTATAAAAAGCAGTAGGTATTTAATTGATTTTTTTAACTTATGAGATATTTGACTGTATTTCTGTGTTGAATTCAGTTACAAAATGTCCATAGCTTTACCATAGCACAAGAAAACGCATTTTGCATTTTTTTGCAGTTACTGCCTTTCTCCATAGTAGGGCAGTATAGGTACTACTACCAATGCAAAACATTTATTTTTGATTTGTATTGTATTCTTAAATGTCTAAACGCCCGAAGTCAGGTTTTGTGTTTC